GCTTTACGAGGAAAAAAACGCGGGCATAGCTATTTCCTCGTAAAGAGTTTTCCTCGTAAAGCCCTAGTAACGTCATTACGAGGACCTTAAGAGGAAATAAAACACGGGCATAGATATTTCCTCGTAAGGTCCTAGTAATGTTACTAGGGCTTTACGAGAAAACAAAATTCCTTATATATACTCGAGCAATCCAGTTTCTCATTTTCTAGTAAGCTTCTCTCTAAATCCTCTAAAGGTTCTCTCTAATTCGTAGTTAGGTGATTAGATTAGGGAATTTAGATTAGGTGGTTAGTTTAGGGAATTTAGATTAGGTGGTTAGTTTAGGTAATTTAGATTAGGTGGTTAGTTTAGGTAATTTAGATTAGGTTGGTTTACTTTTTTTTACTATTTTTTTAAATTATACGGGAATTAATGTTTTGATTTTTTTTTTAAAATATAGATACCTAGAAAGAGCAAGCTTGCTAGGGCTGCTGGTAAGAGGACGTCGTCTAGAGGGGAGTCACTACGGAGATATTTTTGGGCGTCAGGATGCTCTGGGTTCATCTTCGTCAGCTCCCGGTTCATCTTCAATTCCCGAGACTCATGGAGCTTCTACGGCGTCCCGGCAACCTCCTCCTCCTCCACCACCTCCTCTTCCTCCTCCACCGGTCGGGGTTCATCCCGATTTGCAGGTGCCGCCGAACGCACCCTTTGCGGTCTACATGGTGGAGGATATTTTGGCCCTTCCAGGCAGAGAAGGGCTGGCAAAGTTAGATCATATCCGACGGGACGACCAAAACGTATTATGGTATGTTTTATTTTTTAAAAAAAAAAAATAATTTATTTCTTAATTAACAAAATATTTACAAATTAATCTAATTAAAGATTTATTTTGTGTCTTTCCAGGTTTGGTCTTGACAATTGTGTCGGAACTACCGTCACCGACTGTATCAAGGGATACTTTCCCGATGCAGCTCCAAGCTGGAAGATGACGGCGAGCCACACAAAAGAGACGTGGTTCAAATCGTTCGATGTAAGTTTAATGACTTAATTTATTTTTAATTATTTAAAATTATTAATATTATTGAACTAATCCGTCTCTTATTTTTTCTGGTTACATCAAAAATATCGTTGGTCTATTGGGATTCACCAGCGGGTGAAGAAGGAGTTTGAGGCCAAGGCAAGAGCACGATTGCTCGACATGGTCTACAACTAGAAGGGCGACTATCAGGTATAGATATATAAATTATAATATATATATATAGTTTTAAATATATTATTCACTTTAATTCTATTTTTTTTTAAATCAGGTGGATGGTTACGAGGACGGGAAACCCGATTGCCTCACAACCACGGTGTGGGATGGCCTCATCAGCTATTGGGGGTTGCCGGACTTGGTCAGAACCTCCCACACAAACTCCGAGAACCGCATGACCATAAACGAGCATGGCAACACGAAGATGCTTCACACCATGGGTCGAAAACCTCACGGGGGAGTTCGTCTAGACATGGTAAGATGATTTTTAAAAACTATTTAATTTGTATTTTATTTGAATATTCGAAATTAATATTTAATTTTAAAAATTACTTTTAGGCTAAAGAGACATGAGTTCTTCCATCTCTGAAAGACCTTTACGAGAGGATCCACTGGAACAAGGCTGGGCAGTTTGTAGATCATGCTTCCGAGCGGATCTACAACGAGATTGTTGCCCGAGTTGACGAACGCCAGACCCAGCTGACTCAACAGACTGAGACTCCAGTCATATTATCCACTCTTGAAGTGGATAAGATTTACGAGGAGGTAAATAATTTGTTTTACTATTAATTTTTATTATTTATTTTAATTTTTTTCTTAACGTTATTAATATTTTTATTTATAGGTCGCCTCTAGGAAAAAGGGGCGTATCGTCGGGATTGGCTCGGTTAACGATGTCCCTGCAGCGACATTGTCTTATCATCAGGAGCAGAACGATGTCAATGTTCAGCTACGCTCGCAGTTGGCTTCGCTCACCGAGCATGTGACTACTCTCACCGATGTCCTCGACATTTTGGCGGTTGGAAACCCGCAATTGGAGGAGATGTTGCGTCAGAGACGGGAATGCGGAGGGATTCCAACCCAACAGCATCCACCATCACAGTCACAGCCGGCAACCAACTTTGGAGAGGAGCAGGATTTGGCGAGTCAGGACGAGTTCGTTCGTCAATTTCACGACCAGCATCCGTAGTTTTTTTTTTTAATTTTTAATTGTTTATTATGAATTTTAAAACTTAATTGTATATTATTTAGTTATTTATAAAATATTTTGTTTTTTATTTTTTATTTATAATTTGATTTTTTATTTTTAAAAAATAAATTATTTATATTTATAATTAATTTTTTTTAATAGGGAAAAAAATATTTCGAAGCAAAATCCTCGTAACGGTTTCCAATTAATGTCCTCGTAATTAATTCTAGTAAGTTCCTCGTAACGTATTACTACGAGCTTACGAGGAAAAACTTACTACGAGCTTACGAGGAAATGCTACGAGGACCTTACGAGGAAAATCTAACCACGCCTTTACGAGAAAATGTTTCCTCGTAAATTCGCTAGGACCTTACGAGGAAAGAGGTAAAAAATTTGAGCAGGTAACTATTATTCAATATTATTAATTATGTTTAATTATAATTGTGTACTAATTTAATTTATTATTTTCATTGAATGAAGGTTATCCGGAAGAAGAGGGGTCGGATGATCGGGGTCGGTTCGGTGAATGATGTTCCGAGGGCTAGAGCTGAATACGATGCAAGACAGCACAAAGAATCTCAGCTCCGGAACTGTTTGATGAACGCAAACCAATTCATTTTGACCCTCAAGCCAGACAACGAGACCCACAGGGCCAATATTAGGACACATGCAGAGATGTTTGATGTTATTGCGGAAACAAACCCAGCCCTTGCAGCAATATGGAGATCTCGACGTTCAACCATCAACCCCGACCCAACTTCAGAAGAGCAGACGAATGCGGAGCAAGGAGCCGATGAACATGCCTGCCATTTTTCGAAAACATTAATTTTAATAATTAGTTTTTTTTGTTATGTAATTTGAATATATATATATATATTATTATTATTATGTTTTTGGATTTATATATTATGCTAAGTTTTTTTCGAAATTGAAGGATTTTTTTATAAATATTTAATTTCGTAAATTAAAAATTTAAATCTATAAATTTTAAAATGTAAAAATTAATTATATTCATAGAGGTGGAGTGGTCGTATCTATTAAAAGCATTTTGAGGTAAACTGGTAGTAACATTTACGTCTAAATTACGTCTAAATCTCAATTATCGAGATTAATTGGTCGTAAATGTTACGTCGAATTTAATTCTAATCTACATCGACATTTGCGTCTGCTTTACGATCAAATGTTACGACCAATGAACGTGTAGATATGTAGACGTAACTTTACGTCACATTAACTTCTACATTACGACCAGGATGTTAACATTTGTTTTACGACCAAAAAATGTAGTCGTACATTTTACTACCACTTTACGACCACATAACAACCAAAATTGCAGCCGTTATACCCAAGTTTTCTTGTAGTGTAAGTTTTCTTTACCATATAAATCTATTTTTGGTAGAAAAAAATTAAAATTGAAACTCAAACAAATTATGAAAAAAAATTAAACTATTATTGTAAGTATTTATTCAAAAGTTTCAAAATCTACTCTCCGATTAAAAATAAAGAAACATATCTTGGGATTCGTTTGGAACTTGCGTTGGTATTCTTCTTTTCCTTTTCCTTGCAGTCATCACTAACCTTGAAATTCAAAGATATAAAAAATATATAATTAGTTCATTTGTATATAATAGACTCATAAATGGATTTGTATGAATACGTATACTATAGAAAAAACATGTTTGTAAAACTATCAAACCATAACAAACGTTATTCAGTTTTCATATAGAAAATCTAGATATACTTACTGTTACCAAATTGCTGACAAAGCTCTGAGTTTTTTTTACAGCAGAAGTATACTTAACCATCTTCAACATGAATCATGCAAATATAATTTTAAAAAAATTAGAGAATATTGATTTGAGAAGGAAAGAAAATAATCTGAATAAAGGCTAAACACAAACTTGTATGGATTTTCTAGTTACACTCCAATCACACAAAAAAAAAATGAAAAATAAACGATGGAGGAAAAGAGAAAGAAAATAAAAAGTTGTTGAAAGTTATATAAGAGATAGAAAACCCTTACTGCTACAACGGACATCCATGTCTGAAGATTGCTTATGAGCTCTTGATGGTTAGTACTGACCTCGAGAGGAGACTTAATGAGGTTTCGTTGCAGTTCATGATTTTACATGGAAAATATGATAAAGGGGATGTGGCATGGTTTACTCTATGGCTAGACATGAGAGAACATTGGATAATAAAGATATTGATTATGAACATATTTTCTGGAAACAATGTTCTGAAAAACTAAAATTCATTTAACAAAAGAAGAATAAAAAACTCAGAAACGAAGAAGAAGATACGTGAGACCCATTTTATTTTGTCTCTTAATTAAAAAATCTATATTATATTTTTCTTAGATTTAGTTAGTGTACTAGATAATTATTTAGTTGGATTTTAACAGAGAGTAGATTTTGGTTTAAGAAAACTATTTAGTAGTGAAAACTGTCATGTTAATAAAAACTTAAAACTGCTGATATGTATATGGCAGTAGTTTAATGAAAGTAAGTGATTAGCCTATTACAAGTGTATAAATGAAAACTTGGTGGAAAATTAGCACCTGTCGTTTCCTAAATATCTCTCACTTGTTGTCACATGTTATTGTATTTACTACGAATAAGTGAAGTTTAAAGATAGCCTAATCAACAGCAATTCAGAATACATGAGTCAAATGCTTGATGAGTTGGTAAAATACTAAACGACATGGCGAGGATTAGTTATACGAATGAGTCTCACAAGTGTGTGAATGAAATTTTGGTGGAAAATGAGCGACTTTCGTTTCCTTGAGATTGCTTGACAATAACTTTCAGAACAAATGAATCAAACTATTGCATCAGAAAATGATTATATCTGTTAACCAAAAGAAAGGTAAAGTTAACCACGAATACAAAATACTTCAAAAGAGACGATTAATAATACCATAATATGTTCTTACACTATTACCAAAAGACAAACGCAAAAGCGAACTAAATCATCCAGAGATTCATCAACCCTAACACAAGATTTCATTCAAGAGCTAGTAAACTTAGTCACAGCCTTTGTCCCTTCAGACACGGCGTGCTTGGCGAGCTCACCAGGGAGAACAAGCCTAACAGCTGTCTGGATCTCGCGAGAAGTAATCGTCGGCTTCTTGTTGTACCTTGCGAGTTTCGACGCTTCCTGAGCAAGCTTCTCGAAGATGTCGTTGATGAAGCTGTTCATAATCCCCATCGCCTTGCTTGAGATTCCGATGTCGGGGTGGACTTGCTTGAGCACCTTGAAGATGTAGATCTTGTACGTCTCGATGCTCTTCTTGCTGCGCTTCTTCTTCTTGTCCGTTGCGCCGATGGCTTCCTTCGGTAGCTTCTTCCCGGCCTTGGGTTTCTTCTCCGCCGGAGCTTTCTCGGCTACCTTCTCTTCCTCCACTGGCTTCTCTGCGGCGGCGGCGGGTTTCTTCTCTGCTGGTTTCTTTCCTGCCTTTGGTGCCATGGTGAATCTCTTTTTTCTTTGATTTCTTGGAAACGAAGAGGCCGAAGTTGAGATTTAGGTTTCGAGATGAAGTGTCTTTGAAGTGCGTCTGGAGATATAAAGAAGGAAGGATAAAAAATACATTCTTTGGATAAAGAGTGATTCACGAGGATCGCTGACGTAATATGACTCTGACCGTTGGATGGAAGAAAATAAAATATCTAAATCAACGGCTGTTAAGGGTTATTGAATAAGTGTTTTCTTCTCGGATCGCTGACGTGAACGACCGCTTTTTTCTTTGGTAAATGATGATTTATAATTTTAGAAATGGGAGAATTTGTCAATTAACCAATTTTACAATCAAAATTAAGAAAATAGCATTAATCTTGACATTATTAAGTTACTAAGATTTTATATATATTTTATCTGGTTATGTCCTTACCACGTTCAAGTAACCGGTCATAGATAGGTTAAGATATGACATAGACGAGTTAACATGAGGCCAAAAAAAATTGAGACTAAAAATAATCCAATATATCAACAACTATATATGACCAAAAAATTATCATAAACACTTATCTTTGAAAAATCTCAAAATTTTAAGTTTTTTTTTTCTGAATTCTTCTGCAACCATCATAATGAATATATAACCCTCCAAAAATAAGAATAGGTTAGAAAAAACGTAGTAGATTATTGGCTATTTGATAGATATTTAATACTTATGATCACATTTTTAAACAATACAATACGAGATTTTTTTACAGAAGCAGATGACAGACAATGGAGGCGGGGAAGACGATATTGTTTCTATGTAAAAAACAATATATAGAATAGACCATCTAGTAAATAGTACATAATAAGTAGGTCATTCTATTTAAAAATAGTTTAATATGTAGTTTGGTGTTTTTGGTCGGATTACTAAACCCAAGCCCAATTTCATTTAAAATACATTACGATATTTAACTAACAACGTTGTATATACTACATAATATGCAAATTCATCTACTAAAAATAACACTGTGAATAAGGTGAAATAATAGAAGACTTAAATGTTATATTCCATATCACTAAAATAGAATCACTAACTTCATCATAACCTCTAAATACTAAATCATATCCAAACCCCACACCAAACCCCTAAATACTAAACATTAAACCCTAATCATTAAATCCTAAACTCAAATATAAACCATAAACCCAACTATACACCTATATAGAATTAGAACAAAATAAATAATACAGTACATATCGGTACAATTATGAAACGTCCATGAATGTATGAAGAAGTAATGCTCACCCCAATACTAAAAAATTGTGTTAAGAAGTTTATATGTTGAATACTATAAATTTGTGTGAATTTTACACTTGTGTGGACTAAATGCTAAGTCAAGTTTATAAATGTTTAGTTTTTATCAATATACATAAACCAAGACTCAAATCAATGATCACCAAATGATCGTATTCTAATACAAGATAAGTCTTGGTCAGCTTGACACAGTCGAGCATGAAGTATTCAAGAAGTATATAACAAGGAAATGTTAAACAAAGCTATGGACTGGAAGAAATGTATTGTATATAGAACAAGATTTCTAAATAAATAGAATAGACGCGTTGTAGGTGTGAAAAAAAAAAGTGTTATTATCAGCAGAGCCTTTTGCCAAAGTGTCCACCTCCGCCTGCTCCGAAGGGTCCACAGTGGCCTGATCAGCAGTTGTGTCATCTTCCTACTCACCAATGTCATCATCTGCATGCGCAGCCGTGTCCTCACCAGCAACCTCATCAGTTTCCTACAAATTACGCGCATGAGTTAACTTCGACGTTGCCAAACAATGAGCACGTACACCTACCATCCAAATGAACCGCAGACACATCACCTGATTCTAAGCATATAAACTTTGAAGTCCCGGTCCACCTTTGATTCCAATATATTTTTGCCATTCCTCTCTTTAATAGAGACTGAGTGCAAAGAGACTCAATTTCTCTAATACATCATTTTGGAAGAATAGAAAAGGAGATCCAAAAATTCACCGTTCTAAAAATGACTGTCTTCAAAAGATATGGAGTTTAGGCTCATGCAACACTCCTGATGGGCCGACAATATGAACTCCCTTGGGTTAAGAAGAGCAAGCGGCCCACTCCAGCAGCAACCTCATCGTCACATATATATAAATACATGATTAGTATGTGATTAGGTTAATGCAAGCAACATAAGCATAAGGTTTACGACAATAAGAATCAGGTCAATCAGTCATTAAGAAAGAGGCAACAATACAAGATAGGTTATCTTATCTAAGGGCTTTGTTGTATTTCTCTAGCTTGGAATATTTGATTATTTGCAATAACTGTCTAACACACTAATTTGGTGTTGCTAGTGTCTTTTTGATCTAGTGGATTTTGGGAGCAGAAGTCCTCCCACGAGATGTACCGTGCTAGAGGCCGGGACCTCGTTAAATTGATTGTGTTTTTACTTTCAGTTTAGAGATCTAGGTCAAACTAAGATGACTTGAATCCTAAGTAAACCTAAGTTAAATCTCAACAAGTGGTATCAGAGCTCCCGGGTTGTTACAACTGCGTAGGAGAGAGAGAGAGATTTATCTGATTCACAAGATATGGGTAAAACACGCATTGAGGTGGATCGATTTGAAGGTACTGGGGATGATTTTGCACTATGGAATGTGCGGATGTTGGCATACTTCTGAGTGCTTGGTCTGAAGAACATCCTTACGGATGAGAAGTTGCTAAGGGATGGGCCAGACACAAAGGATGAATCTGAGTCCGCAATGAAAGACAAGGGTAAAGGATTGGCTGGGATTGTCGACCACGAAGCAGCCATAGATCCGGAGAAGTTTGAGAAGTCAGAGTAAGCTAAGGACCTGATTGTGCTAAATTTTGGGAACAAGGTCTTAAGGAAATTCAACATTGCGATACTACTGCAGCAATGTGGTAAACCTTGGTCTCTACACAGAGACCTCGTTTCCCAATCGGATATATCTACAGCTCAGGTTCTATACTTATAAGATGATTGATTCTAAGTCTATTGATGAGAATATAGACGACTTCTTGAAGTTGGTGGCAGATCTTAGTAATCTACAGGTGGAAGTCTCATAAGAGGTTCATGCCATCATACTACTAAGTTCACTACCTGCAAAGTATGATCAGCTCAAAGAAAATCTTAAATATGGGAGAGAAACTCTAAGGCTCAACGAGGTTACTGGTGCTGCAAGATCCAAAGAACAAGAGTTGATCAAAAGTGGGAAGTTCACCAGGTCAGGTGGAGAAGGTCTGATGGTTGAGAGAGGTAAATCAGATAGACGCACTGACCGAGGAAGTGGAGAACCGCATAAAGGTAGGTCCAAACGCCAATTTGGGAGATCTAAATCATGTCCTAAAAACAGCAAAGGGTGTTTTGTATATGGGAAAGAAGGACACTGGAAGCGAGATTGTCCAGATGGAAGGTCATCCAAACCATAAGACTCAGCTAACGTAGCAGCCGCATAATCAAAGGACCCATTAATCTTAACAATCAACACAATGGACACCAGAGATGAATGGGTAATGGATTCAGGGTTCATTTCATATATGTCCTGATAAATATTTCTTATTTGATTTGGAAGAATTCAAAGGAGGAAAAGTGTTGATGGCCAACAACACTAACATCAATATTCAATGGATTGGAAAGATCAAGATTCTAAATTTGGATGGATCTACGGTTGTCTTAACTGGGGTTAGATACATGCCAGATATGAGTAGAAACTTAATTTCTTACGAAATGTTGGAAACTGCAGGATGCATATATGAGGGAAAGGATCTTGTGGTTACGTCTATAAGGATGACAAACCGGTTATTTCAGAAAAATATCATCAAGGACTATACTATCTCCAAGGAACATTATTAAAAGGAGGACAAGGATTCAAAGAAATATGACTAATGTTTGGCACTCACGCCTCGGTTATATGAGCCTTAAGAATATGTCTGAGTTGGTCAAGAATGGATATATCATCGACAATGAGGTTAAGGAGTTGGATTTATGTGAGCATTGTATAATTGGAAAGTCACATAAACATAGTTTTCCTAAAGCTAAGCATGTGACTAAAGGAATACTAGACTATGTTCACTCGGACCTCTGGGTTCTCCATCTACTATAGATAGTCTTGCTGGAAGCAAGTATTTTGTAATGTTTATTGATGATTTTTCGAAAAATGTCTGGATCTATTTCTTGAAGACAAAATATGAAGTGTTTTCTAAGTTCAAAGAGTGGAAGGCAGAAGTTGAGAACAAAACAGAGAAAAAGATCAAATGTCTAAGAACAGAAAATGACTTGAAATTCTGTAATAGATAGTTTTATTAATTTAAAATATTGATAAAAATAATAAATCTAGAGTACAAAAAAATTATTTTAAGTATAATTTAAATTTAAAATTTTTATTGCTCCACATGGTGTAGGAAAATACATAATTCTTTAGAAATATCCATAGTTTAAAAATTGGTTAGTTTAAAAATCTGTTTTAATTAGAACTGTATGGAATCTTATATACTATGGTATATTTATTAATTATTTTCCAAACTATATTAACATATTATTATATAAATATGCATTTGTAATTATATATAGGTGGGGTGATTTTATTATTAGTCAAGTATATATAAACTGTTAATTATATACTATATTAAAAATTATTATGTACAAACTTAGAGTTGTTAACATAAAAAATAATTGCGGAAATGTAGATAATTGTGAGATATGTATTATTTACTTACAATAAGGTATAATTAATTTATATTGATATTTGTATCTAAGTGAATTGTTTATTAAGTAGATGTTATTTTATTTAGGGCAATTGACCATAATAGCCCATTTCAAGTTTCTATCACAAAAAGAGCCCCAGAAGGAAAAAGTCACAAATATAACCTTCATTAAAGAGAGAAATGTCCACACTGTCCTTTTTTGTGTTTAATAAAAAAAGCTTCAAAAAAAAAAAACATTTCTTCTCTTCGACGAGAATCTCAGACGGCCGATCCGA